GGGCGAGAGGCCCGGCGTGGGTTGGAGGGCCCGGCGGGCGGCGAGGCCCGGGCCCCAGGCCAGCCCGGCCAGGCGGGCTGTGAGCGGGAGGTTAGCTCGGCTGGCTCGTACCGCTGCATCTAGTCCCGGTTTTCCCAGGCTGGAGGGTCCTTTGTTAAGCTGGAGGTTGGCTCCATGTTAGGCAGCCTTTAAAAAGGATGTTTAGGAGCAGCTCACTGGCTTCCCTGGGGGCCGCAGTGGTCATTTCAGAGGGGTGCTGAGGCAGGGCTTGGCGCTGGAAGTTAAAAAATTGAAAAATTGAAAGAAAGCTGCTGGTTTCAGAAAGAGACTGGAAGTTATAAAATTCTAAGGATCTTGGGGAACGCAGCTTTTCAAATACATGTGTGTGTGTGTGTGTAAAGCATTGACATAGACTAAAATTCATTACAAAAGAGAAATGAGAGGAAAAAAAAAATCCATTATTTTTTCTGTTATATTTTAAAATCCCATTTCCTGAAGTAACCAGGGATTTTTTTTCTCTATTTACACAAAGATTGTAGCCAGCCACAGTACTAAGCTCTGACCATGCTACATGGCTTGTGTAACTGCTGTGATTACAGTAAACACATAAAAATTGCAGTCCTCTATTGTCCATTTCATAGGGATGCACTGAAAACCCTGAAGCTGATGATAATGACTCACAACTTCAAGTCAGTTTTAGTGAAGTGATCAAACCTCAACAGTGTGGCCAGACAAATAAAACGGGAAAGTTTAGGGCAGATCTGCATGTAAAGGGACAAATTATGCAGGCTATTCCAGTCTCCGCTAGCGACATGGGAGAATAGTAGCTGTAGATTTTTGACCACAAAAGGCACAATAGGCACAAGGGAGAATGAAGAAACATGGCATAGAAATAAAAGGGTGGATGGGAGGTAAGGGGAGAAAAACTAGAATGAATTTCCCTGAGTCAGTAAAGCAGAAAGTAATTGTTACTGTGGGGATCAACTCTGAAAAAGTCTGCAGTGATTAGACTGCCAAACTTTAATAAATTGCGACTTGTGGGTGTTATGTGGTCTAAACAATTCTGTTAAAGGGCTTTGCACCAATGAGTGGAGGCTATGTTTTTTTTTTTTCTTTTTTTTTTTTTTTTTTTTTTTCTATCCAGAACTGCTCACAGAGTTTAGATGCTGCGGTGTCTGAGAACCCAGCTTCAGAATCATAAGAGTTGTCTTTCAGTGAGGCTGATAATCAACAGCTCTGATTAAAGGTGATAAAGGTATTGACAGAGCCTAAGGCAATTATTCCAAACACAGAACCTAACCTGGAGGGAGTGCTTCTCCTCTACCTTGGGTTTTAGGTAGCCATTTACAACAGCAGAGTAGGAGTTGCATTTGGTAGTGCTTTATGGACATGTAGGCGATGTAAAAATATGAAAATGAAAGGTGTGGGGAGCACAAACTGTGTAACACACAGAACATTTCACAGACCCATTGCTCACCAAATTTGGATCCAGGTTTTTAAGTGGGACTTGGATATTTTCTTTCTGAAGGAGGAGTCCAAATTTTGGGCTGACTGGCCAGAAGTACCTTAGGGTTGCTTTTCAGAGGATTTTAATTTTGACTCAAGTGTTTGGGATCTTTTATGTGTTTTCTGACACAAGAGCTGTTTTAGGAGCTTGCCAATGGTCAGTCATTAGCCCTGTAATTCACAATTTCTGCAGCTGAGCTAATGCAACAAGGCAAGATTAGAAAACAAACCTATTTTTGTATTTCTTTTTCCTTAACCCAGATGATTTCTGTGATCCAGTTTAGGATGCAGCTTCTAAAACTATTACATGTGCACAGTTCTGGAGATGACAGACTGCAGCAGCCAGGGCAAGGAACAGAGAGAGGGATTTTGTAATTGGCCTTACCCCTGAAGAAAATGTGATGTGTCACTATGACGGTTATATACAGGCTGATACACAATTCTGCATAGCCTGTTTCTGCTGCAGATCTTAAGGATTTTATTTGCCCTGCCACTACCACCACCACCTATGGCCCCACAGTCATGCTGCCACAGCTATTTGTAACTGTGCTGGGGATCAAAACAACGCTTGGATTAAAAGCAGCACCGTTCTTAGTAACACTTTTTTTAACTGAGATCAGTGTGTTTTTCCAGTTTACTGTGTGGCCTTATGTACTGTTGTGCTGACACAGCTGTTGAAAATGTACCTTTTTTGGTGGCAAGACAGGATATGGGAATTCCTACTGTTTTTGCTGGCTTGCCACCAAAGATGGGGGTTGCATGTGAAACAACCCCTCCAGCTCTCCTGAAAACAAGGGCAGTTGCTGAAATCTCCGCAATTAAAAAGAGAGGCTACTTCTGAGCCTCAGGGAATGTCTGATACCTATAGTTAGTGTGCTGCTTTGCTCTGTTGTTCTCTTCTTGCCTGGAGAACAGAACATTTTCTTGACATGTTTGAAAAGTAACTCAGACCACTGCAGTTATTCAGCTGTAAGTTGTATTTGATGCATGTCCAAAACTGTATTTTTCAAGTGAGTTCCAGTGAATGCAGTAATAGTAGAAATCTTTCAATGGGCTTTTTGTTTAGTGAAATAAAATGAACTGTTGTTTATCACTGTGTGGAGTGTTTGGTATCCAGCCAATAATAATTTAGTAGCTAGTAAGAAT